CACACACACACACACACACACACACACACACACACACACGCACACACACACACACACACACACACACACACACACACACACAAATCATGTACAGGTGTCTGGAGCCACGGCTGGCCTTGCCCCCGAGCTGTGACCCGTGGGCAGAGGCGGAGCCCGACCTGTTGGACTGCGGCCCGTTGGGGCGGGGGGGCCTCACCGAGAGCGCCCGCTACGGCAGCGACGAGAGCGGGACGCTCCTGTCCCCAGCTGACGCAGCCGCCGCTGCCGCTGCTGCAGCAGCAGCGGCGTTGTATGTGTGGTGCGACGCCGTGGCATGGCCCGCGCAGGACGAGGAGTGCCAAGACCTGCAGGGGTGCAGCGACGACGGCGGTGGCGATGAGCAAGGCGAGGCCGAGAGCAGCGGAAGCGACGCAAGCGGCGGTGACGGCGGCGTCAGCAACGGCAGCGACAGCGGTTACGCGGGCTCAGATGATAAGGAGGTTCTGGGAAGGAGCAAGGGGAGGCGAGGGCGGCAGCAGACGGGCGTGGGTAAGCTCCAACCGGCCACGCCGGCGCCGCCCCCGCAGCTGCGGGTGGCCTCAGTGTGCGGTCAGGCACTGCGCGATGACCACTGCACTGACAACGCTGGCGCAGAGGGCGGCAGCATTTCAGGGGCGCGGCAACTGGGGCGCGGCCCCTTGAAACAGGGACCACAGGTCATGCCCACAGCATCACAGCCGATAGCTGCGTCGGGCGCGGCGCCAGCTGGCAGCTGCGCATCGCCGCCCCTAGCTAAAGTTAGCAGGCGATCAGTGGGGCCCCCGCGGTGGTACGGCGAGGCGGATGGCGTGTTACACCAGCCGAGGCAGCAGCGGGTAGCTTGGCGGTCAGGGCAGCCGCGGGCAGGTCAGCGACGGCAGCGACAGCCACGGCGTAAGGCTGAGCAACGCGCACGGGCGGTGGCGTGTCTTTCGGCTGCGTTCAACCAGGGCAGGCATGGTGCAGGGGCGGCAGGGCAAATGGAGGAGCCAGGGTTGGAGGTGGTGGAGGGCGCCGAGGCGAAGGTTGTGCCAAAGCGGCAACAGGAGCATGCGCAGATTGAGCTGCTGGGAACACCGGCGGAGCTGTTGCAGCAGCAAGAGCAGGACCACAAGGGTCATCTTGTGGCGCCACAGCAACCGCAAGCACAGCAGCAGCAACAGCAGCAGAAGCAAGACTTGAAGCAGCAGCAGCAGAAGTTGAGGCAGCAGCATCAGGACCAGCGTCAGCAGCAGCAGCAATAGCAGCAACAGCCGCGACAGCAGCGGCAGCAGGACCACCAGCAGCAGCAGCAGCAGCAGCAGCAGCAGCAGCAGCACAAGTTGCAGTCAAAGCAGCACAAGAAGCAGGAGCAGGAGCTGCAGATCTGTACAGATGGCGACAGCATTGAGGAGGACTGGGCCGTGCATTGGGCCAACACAGCCACGGGCGAGGGCCCCGCGGCGGCCCCCTTCTCTTGTGCGTCCAGGGACGCTCCGCAGCTGCAGTTGCCTGGGGAGAAGAGCGTGTGCCCACTGTCGCTTCCAGAGGAGGGCAGCCAGGGTGCCAGTGCAGAGCAGCTGGTGGTGGAGGGTGCAGTGTCCTGGGCAGCACAGCCTGGGGGGCCCCGGGCGGCAGGCTCAGCGGCCCGTGAGCCCTGCCTCAAGCGCCCCAGGCTTTCACTCCTTAGCGGGGCGCTTCCTGTTTCTGCAGACATTCCAGCTGCTTCGCTGCTGTGAGTCCTGCAACTCTGCTCACCGCTTGAAACTTGCAGCTGTGTTGTTGCAGGGAAAGGGCTGCGAGCGCTCCCGTGTCAATCCAGGACCCGGGCTGCTTTGTACTTCGACAGTCACTTGGCGCTTTGCCCCTTCCACACGTTCATGGCCATCTGCTGCACTAAGGTTGCCCAGGCTCATGCACGTATGGCAATCAACCCCTCTTGTGTGATTCCTTGTGGCTAGCCCTGGGCAAAGGGTTTGAGGTGGGGTGTTGACCAGGCTTGACCAGGTCTGACCAGACCAGTCGGCCTCATCACAATGGACAGAAGCTGAACCCCCTGCAGGCAGCAGATGTTTGGATTGCACATTGTGCTTTTGCTTATGTATAGCGTTCGTTGCGTCTGTAGTGAGTGCCATATAACGCGCTCCTAGGCAGAGGTTCAAGTTGAGGACGAGCGCACCCGTGGCCATTTCTTGCCCAAAATGACCCTTGGTCCACTTACAAAAACATGTTGCCTTCGCCAAATGTCTGTCGAACGTGATGCACACCGGTATATTCGATTGAGCTGGATTGGTTAGCTGGTGAGGGTGGGGCTGCTGAAAAGAATGCGGATGAAACAATTGATATCCTCGTAAAAAAAAGTAATATATCAGCAGCAAATTGTCAAGCTGGTGTGCAGTGCGTTGCCCAGGAATCATAAATGCACGCCACCTCACGCCGCCAGGCGTGCCAGGGTGAGGCCAAGCAGCAGGCCCGCGGCGGAGCCTACACCGTACGACAGGCTGCCGCAGAGCATGGCCGGCTGCACCAGACGCTCCCAACCCCTGCTGGCAGACATGCCTGGGGCACAGGAGGCGATGCAGGTGGCGGGGTGGGGGTCGGGGGTGATCAGGTCGGTGGTCTAGGACTGGGCTTCCCTGCAAAACACTCAAATCATAGCGAGTTTGTGAGCTCCACACATCCCAGTAAGCAAGCCCCTGGGATCCTACCTGCCGCAGTAGCTGGGCCGCCGATGAGCGTGTTGGATGCCACCTGGGGGTGGCAGACGAGTGGGGACGATAATGCGGCTTGGTTCAATGGTGCTTGCCACGGTAAACGGCAAGAACAAACAGCATGCCGGGTGAGGGGCTCCTAAACCAAGGCCCATGCACCGCCTTGCACACCCCCCTTGCGCCCCAGGTGCACAGTCAGTGGCGTTGAGCTGTCGGACTGCCAGCCGGGTGAGCTGCTCCCACCAGCACGAGCGAGGGCTCCAGCCGGAGCAGCCGCGCGCCCGCCAGCAGCACCGCCCAGTGCACCGCCACCATCACGCCGATGAACGCCAGCAGCGGGGCCAGCGCGCCTGGAGACACGCCCGCGGCGCTGCACGTGGCCCCGATGGAGACAAAGAAGCAGCCCATGAGGGGGCCGCCCAGCTGCGAGGCGCCTGCGGCGGGAAAACACAGGGTGGGGGTGTTTCGGAGGGATGGGGCCCATGTGGGAGGGCAGCGTGGGCTTGGCAACAGTGCAACAAGCAGTGTAGCGCTTCTGCCCACACCCAGCTTGTTTGCCGTCTTAAACCTGCGTTCGTGTGCAGGCCACCAACTCGCCCGTCCCCGCCCCCAACGCCCGGAGTGCTCTGCTCTCACCCGCAAACAGGGCGCGGCCCCGCCAGCCGCCAGCCGCCGACGCCGCAAGGGCCAGGCCCGACACCGCCAGCAGGAACAGGTGCGGGGTGCCCACCGCCACCGCCAGGCCGCGCGCCGCCCAGCACACGAGCGCCGCGCCAGCCAGTGACAGCGCAGCGCTGCGCGGCGTCAGCCGCGAGTGCCGCCCGCCCCTGCGGCCCGCCGCGCCCTCGTCGCCGCTGTCGTGGCTTGTGTCGCGGCTGCGGGCGTAGGCGGCCTGCAGGGTCAGGGGGCTGGGCTCCGCCGTCAGCAGCGGCCCGCCGTCCCGCGCCAGGGGCCCGCCCCCGTCCATCGACCCGGTGCTGTCGTAGGAGCTCAGGGCGGCCCCGGGGCTGTCGCTGCCGCTGCTGATATCGGGGGGAATCACCGGAGTCGACGACGGCGCAGAGCCCACGCCCGCGACCGCAGCCGCGATGCCGCCGGCGTCGGCCACCACGCCGTTGCCATTGCTTGCGGTGCCCTCGCCGCTGCCAAGGGCCCCGGTTGGTGCGCTGTAGGCCTCGCGCTCGCGGCTGCGCAGGTAGGCCGCCCAGACAGTCGCTGCGGCCGGCTCCTCAGTCAGCAGCAGCGACCCGTCTCGGGCCACCGCCTGTGACCCCGACATGCGCACCGGCACCGCCACCTGCCGCTGCAGCGCCGCCTGCACCTCCGCTATGTACAGCCCGCCCGCGCTGGCTGGGTCGCCACCAACGCCGACGCCCCCGCCGCCGGCCCCGCCGCCTCCTTCTGGCACACCAGCTGGCAGCTGGAAGCCCGGCGGCGGCGACGCGCCCGCGCCTGGGGGTGTGCCGCTGCTGCCAGGGCTGCCTGTCCCCGCCTTGCCGCCGCCGTTACCACCCCGCGCGGCAGCACGGGCGTTCCTCCAGGCGGCCGCGGCCCGCAGCGTCTCCGGCGCGGTGAAGCGGCGCACCACGCGCAGCGGGCAGGCGATGAGCGCGGTCAGCAGGGCGCCCATGGCCAGGTTGTCCGCTGCCATGGTGGCCGGCAGCGCAGCCGCGGGCAGCAGCGTGGCCTGGGAGAGCGCCACAAAGTTGACGCTGCCGCCGATGTAGGATGCGCAGAGGCACGCCGCCACCGCACGGGGCGGCCGCAGCAGCAGCGCGGCGACGAGCGCTCCCAAAAACATGCCGGCAGCGCCAATACCAAACGCCGCCAGCAGGCGCCCACCGTCGGTGCGCAGTCTGTTTTTGAAAT